AGTGGGGCGGGCCCCCCAGGGGGGGCGCGAGGCTCCGTAAAGGGGGGCCCGTTACAGCTGGAGAGAGGGAGATTGTCCCAGCGCAGCCCCAGTAGCAGCCCGACGTGCTCTATCCTGATTGGTCAAACCCACCCATGTGACTATTTACAGTCACGTGGGGGGGCACGAAATGTTTTCTTCTTTCCTGGGGGGGCGTGACAGAAAATAATGGAGAAGCACTGCTCTAAGGGCAGCTTTTTGCTGCCCCCAAAAGGAGTGGCATTCGCCTGCTCTTTTTAGAGCGGCAAAAAGGACAATTGGGGGCCACGGTGTGTGGTTGCCGCGGCCTCGATCCAATGCTCCATCTGCATCAGCCCTTAGTCTGGCTCCTCAGGAAAAGTCTGTCAGACATAAGAGACCCTACCAGCAGCACTGCTGCCATTAGCATAGCATCTTGCCTCATAGGAACATGCAATCCCAATATTGAGGAAAGGTAGTGCCATGGTGAGCCTGAAGGGATACTTTGCACACAAACAGCTCCTTCACTGAGGCAAAGAGGAGTCACAGATTAGGCTTATTTAATCTCCACCTCAATTAAATCACTAAACCAGTTCAATGGATATTACTGATTTCACAGAACAAAGAACTGCTAAGAAATCAAAGAATGGTGGGAAAGCAATGGACAATCCAGGACAATCCTAAAACTTGATATACTATCAGAATTAACCTTTGCGCTTTACTGAAATTACTTGTGCAGAGTAGACTGCAAAGAGCAGTTGTCTCCCAGAACTAAACTAGAAAGTTTCAAGTAGAAGGAACAAAAATTGTCCCACAAGGCAATGTACAATCTCTTGGAGTGGTGATGGTGGTTAAGAATGAATCTAGGGTTCATGTATTCACTTCTCCCCAAAGCAGACAGCACATCACAAATGAGTGACATGAAATATTTGTCAGCAACAAAATACACTTTGGGGATATACACTCATATGTGCTGATCGTAAGTAAAATTCTGCATGTGTTGAACTGACCACCTAAGTGAAGTCTTGTTCCCATGAATCTATATACTGATGAAGCATGGGAATTAAAATTCTCTACACACATTGCCTTCGCATTTTGAAGCTTCAGTCTGCAGTCAGACAAGCTTCCCAAGAGACCAGAACTATGGATTATGCACAGCATGGCATGTAGGCAGAAGAAAGAGTACCAGCTTAACCCTAATTAACAGAAGGAGCTGCCAGAGAAAGAGTTTCAAGATTCAAGTTGGAGGAAAAGATGGAAAAAAGCGAAGTCTTTTGTATGTCAGTCAAACCTGATAGTAAAATCAGGCAACTATGAATAAGACAGAGGCAATATATAGATATAATAAGAGAGACAGACAAAATAATTTTGGGGAAACTTTGGAGTTGAAGGTAAATATGTCTAATTGCATAGGATAAAATAGCATCCAAAATGTTAAAGAGACATTCTTGGAAATTCATACCTTTTCAAGACTGAAACTCACATGCTGTTTCAAAATGAAATGCATTGCATTTAACTCAATGAATATTTTGAAATGATCCAAATTAGACACATGAATTAAATGAAATGTATTCTATGCCACTTCCATAACCATCATTTATTTGTATCTTGACATATTTGATTGCAAAGTGCATTTTAATTGCCTAATTCATTTAACTATTGTGAATCAAAATGAGATAAATAAATCAAAGATTTTACAGTTATGCTTGTTACACCAAAAAAATGAAAAGAAAATTAGCAACCATCAGCATATTATCATGGATTATGGTTAGTGCACAGTAGTTAAAATATATGTACAATTTATGTTTATTTTATCATTAAAATTAGCAGTTTATCAACACAGATTCAGACTTCTTTTTCCAGTGTTTTTCTTAAGGCAAATTTTCAGGTATGCCTTTTCTATCTCTTAGGCTATCACTATGATACCATGGTACTCCCATAAGAACAAAGAAAATGTGGTAGTCTTTACCAAGCTCTGATCTAATATACTACAAAACAAAAAACAAAAACAGCTGTATATGTATGTTATTTGATTTTTTACTTTAATACATTTCAATGTCTTAATTCCTCACTGATAAGGAATCAAAAATAATTTTAAAAATCCTCTCTTTCAGTAAGTTTTTTACTAATGATTATTCTGGTTTGAATCCAAATTTCAGTACTTACAACTGGGCTGTTAGAAGGAAACATCTAGAAAAGTCCCTTAAAGTATTACATAGATGGTTGAAGAACCCTGCTGAATGGGGTTACTGTCTGAAAATCAGATGGTAGGCACACTGTCTGAAAATCAGATGGTGGGACTTTTATGGTGGCACTTTTGCTTTTGTCAGTGGAAAGCAGAAGCATGATTCAGCCCTTTACCATTTGTTTTAAAACATACTTCTAAACAAGCCCATTGCCCAGTTTAGACGTAACACTTAACCAGAATTACTGGGGACTTGGTTACTGGCTAATTGCAGTGGCTTACATTCCAGATGCACAAAGAAAACATTGTTTAAGAGAAGTTGCATATATAAACCAGGGGTAGGCAACCTTTCCCCTTTAAGGACTGAGAGACTTCAGCTCCCAGAAGCCTCAGCCATGTTGGCCAATAGTCCCATGTTGGCCAATAGCTCCTGGGATTCTGGGAGCTGAAGTCCCTCGGCCCTTAAAGAGGATTGCCTACCCCTGATATAAACAAACCCATAAAATATTATAGCTCTCATTCACTATCAAACAGTAATATGTACCCTAGACGTACACACCCATAAGTGCTCCATATTCATGTAGTTGGATAGGTTCCATTATCCTGTAGTCCAGAAAAATAACATACTTCTAAAACTCTTTAAGAGAGACAAAGAGGGAAGCTGGATCAGCCATAGCAAAGTACATCAGTTCCTCAGAACAGTGGAATGAGACATGACAATGTGTTATGCAATGGGATGCTGGGCAGAGGAAGAAACAGAGATGGGATTTTTAAAAAAAATCCTTACTGTACAAAGCAATGCACACCAGCACTGAGGGGTGTACATTAGATTTAGCCCACTACCCACTTTTCACTATACAGTGAATGTAATATCCAGCATTTGATATGGAATTGCATTATAAACTGGTAATACAGGATAAAACTTTACACATATGACCTTGAAAAACACCAGTAATTTCTCCAGTACAGTGGAACCTCTACTTACGAATGCTTCATCCTACGAAATTTTCGACTTACGAAACGCGCCTCCTAATAAATTTTGCTTCAAGTTACGAAATTTGCTCTACTTACGAAATTGGCGTGACGAGCTGCTTTTTGAATTTCGTGGAATGCTATTGGCTGGTGAAATCTGGCAAAGCAGCACTCTATTGGCTAGA